GTGATCAAAACAACACATTAAAATACTGGGTCTGGAGACAGTTGATCAAAACAACACATTAAAATACTGGGTCTGGAGACAGTTGATCAAAACAACACATTAAAATACTGGGTCTGGAGACAGATGATCAAAACAACACATTAGAATACTGGGTCTGGAGACAGATGATCAAAACAACACATTAAAATACTAAGTCTGGGGGGGAATATATAAATATGCAAATATCTTCCATCTTGGATGACCAGTAAAACCACCACCACCAAAGTTGTAGGTACAGTGGTATAACCATATAAATGCTTTGTCTTCTTGGACGGTTGACAAAAACACAAACTGTAGGTAAGGTGATATAAATACACAAATATCACACAGACTAATTCTGCTTAAATTGCACAACAGAATACGGAAATTTAGCTTACTTGTTCCTTCAATTTGATTGCAAGTTCCATTCCAATACTTCAAAGAGCTATAAAAAACAAAAAAAACAACTTAAGTTTGTCCATCTCTCTATCTATATATACACACACACATACATACATTATCAGATGCAAGTTAGCAAGATCTCTTTCAAGCCGACTTAAGTTATTTCAGTAATGCATATTGTTTTGTATAGGAAGTTTGTAGAACTGGATGAAAAATTTTCAAGAGTAAAATAGCCAGGAGTGTACAAAGTAAATAAATATAATGAAATAAACACGGGTATCAAATCACTTAGGATGATTCTTCAGGTTTTTTTCAAAATCACTGGGCTTCAAGTCTGTTGTTCAGTAAAAATAGAAGATGAGCATGCACAAATAGTTCCATTTGTTTTAATATTTACACAAGGGTTTTTGAAGGAGTTTAAGAATTAGATACGTAAGTCACTTGCTACTATTTGTTATAATAGTCTTATAATAGTGAGCAGATCTCAGAAGATTGGCTAAAGTTACTCCTTTTTTCATGGGAGGTGATAAAAATTGTCCCCATAATTACAGGCCTATTAGTCCCTTACATAAGTGGTGGAAAGAGTTTTTGAAAGTCTGATAAAAGATTCTTTGCAAAGTCATTTAACAAAGCTTGAAATTTTGTTGGATAGTCAGCATGGTTTCACTAGGGGAAATCCTTACCATACTAATTATTTGACATCCTTTAAAGAGGTTACTGCTTAAGTATATGAGGGTAAGGGTGTAGATTTGGTGTACCTGGATTCCCAGAAAACATTTGACAAGGTGACACATAAAAGTATTGTAAAAAAAAATCTCTATAGTTGTGAGAGATAAGTTAACTAATTGGATAGAAGAGTGGCTGGATGGAATAAAACAGAGGGTTGTTATAAATGGAATTCAGTCATACTGGATTAATGTTACAAATGGGGTACCTCAGGGTTCAGTGTTAGGACCTTTGCTCTTTTTGATTTACATCAAGGACATAGATGAAGGAATGGCCAATATATTACTTAAATTTGCAGTTGATATTAAAGTATTGCTTGTTGCTGGCTGTGAGGAGGATGCTGCTGCTGCTTTACAAAAGAATTTAAATTATTTGGTGTGTTGGATGAATAAACAGAAGATGGGTTTTAATTATAATAAATGCAAGATAATGCACGTGAAATATCACAATTTGAATTATGGATATAATTTAGATGGGAACAACCTTAACAGTGTCATGAAAGAAAGAGATCTTGGTGTAATAGTTGATCAGTCTCTTGAGCCATCCAAGCAGTGTGCTGTTGCTAGTGGTAGGACAAATAGGATTGTAAGTTGTACCTACAGAAATATTGAATACAAGTCTAAAGAGGTTATAATTTGATTGTACAGGTCACCGATTAGGTCACATTTGGAGTATTCAGTTCAGTCTTGAGCTACTTACCTTAGGAAGGTCATTGAATTGTTGGAAAGGGTTCAGAGAAGGGTTACTAGGATGATATCCAAGATGGAAAGGTGCCATAAAAGAATAGGTAAAGATTTTTTGACTTTTTTTCTCTTTAAAAAAAAGAAACGTTATTACAGGGAATCTGATTGAGGTGTTTCAGATTGTTAAGGGAATTGATATTATCGATTCTTCATATTTTTCTCTATTTATTGGTAAGAATGGTAAGACAAGGGGACACAGTTATAAATTCTGGCAGAGTAGGCATCATCTTTAGCTAAGATAGCTTTATATTTGTAATAGGGTTATTGACTTTTGAAATGGGTTGCCTTCAGATGTGGTGGATGCAGTAAATTTAAGGTACTTTAATGGAACTCTTGATAAGTATTTAAATGATAAGGGTTGGCTTTGAGTTTTTAGTAGATAGACCAAAAGTTCCCTTGTTGTCCTTTAATGCTATATTTCTAAAGACCAACGAGTGTTTCTAACAGACCGAGAACAAGTAATAATAACGACAAACCAACGATTGCTCCGAGTGGGATGCTCTGTAAATCAATTCAAGTGGAAAGTTATGAAATTCCCGAGGACATCTTGCAGCTATTCAGTAACTAAGTTAGCTGAAACAACACAAGAATAGACACGTTTTCAGCATTTTTATCAGTCTAAGAAATAAATTCTAACTTGATATTTAAAGACAATTTTTAGTTGAAGAACTTATTACTTATATTTCAAGTACCCCTACAATATCAGTGTATTTATAGACGTTAATTATATAATATGGAAGACTTCTCTATAAGTAAGCTACCTTAGTAATCAATTTTGTACAAAAACTACCCACAATTCTATTCCGAGAATTAGACCATTTGATAAAATGCCTGAAATACTCATAAAGGTGCAGATAACGGAACCTATGAATAAAACACTTTTCAACTTGCCTTGCTCCATTCCAGCTCTCTATGAGATTGAATTTGTTGATTTTATCTTTTCCTGTAAAAACTGTAAATACTCCATCATCAGAGTTATTCCTCTAAAAACGAAAAAAACAAACAACAACTTTATATTCCCTAGTGATAGCTGTATCTATTAGATATTTTGTATACATTATAATTACAGTTTTAAAACCATCTATAAAAAGATTTATCCACGAGTTCAAATGTAACCAAGGAGAAGTATGTTGAGTGACTTCCTGGATGAAATGAGAGTGAATTCAAGTATTCGTGAAAGTTTATTCCCAGTTAGGCCTCCAATAATAACTAACCCTAGCTAGTTTTTCAACTTGGTTAGCAATGCTTTTGATTTAAAGTATAAAACAATACAAATAAATCTAAGAAGATTGTGGGGGGGGGGGGTTATTTTGTAGCATCATCAGGCTATCTGCTGTGTCCACTCAGGGGGAATCAAACCCCTGATTTTAGCAGTGTAAATCTGAAGACTTATCGCTGTCCCAGTGGGGGACAAGATCCAAGATTTTGGAACGGTAATTAGATTGTGGGGGGTTTATCTTGTAGCATCATCAGGCTATCTGCTGTGTCCACTCAGGGGGAATCAAACCCCTGATTTTAGCAGTTTAAATCTGAAGACTTATTGCTGTCCCAGTGGGGGTCAAGATCCAAGATTTTGGAACGGTAATTAGCATTACATTGATACCTAGAGCTATATGAAAACTATCACTCAGTTCCATTTCTGATAATCTTTTCCAAAAATCATTAAAAATGTACATATATAATTAAGATTCATTAAGTTCTGTTAAAACCATCAGAGATTATTTACATGCTTCGAACATATTACAAAATTATTTTCTAATTCAAATTTGTAAATTCAGTGTTGGAGATATATATATAGTAAGTTTATTCTATATTACAGGGTTGCGAATCCCTGTTTAACATTAGCAAATGGTACCACAGTCTAAGTTCTGTATTGTAAAATACTTGGATTTTAAGAAAGACCTTACTTTTAAAGCGACAATTGAATAAGATGTAAAACACCTTCTTTCATGTATTTATAAAAGACGTTACATTATAAACTCTGTAGTTCATCTCTGTAACATGGAAAAATATACTTCCCTGGCCATTCAATTCCTAAGAACCCCGTATTTGACTCTCTCTCTCCATATATATAGTTACGCCAATATAAGACTCAATAAACAAAATTCTAACAAATGTGGTGTTAATGGATTAAACTACTCTCAATAAAGGCTTAAAGAAATTTCTTGGTGTTTTTAAACAGCAGTTACCTGGTAATCATGAAGAAAGTGGTTTTGTTCAATTTGAACACACAATTAAAAAAAACTTAATTTCACGTATATTTTTTTTTCTGACTTTGTAACTTTTTTTTTTTTATGGTTGAAGATTTCTTACAAATAGATGGCAAAAATAAAACTGAGTAAATGTGATAGGAAATGTTTCATCTACAAAACAATACCATTTAATACAAAGGAATCACAGATATTTTTATTTTTTTTTACATCATACCTGGATTTTGAAAGTAAAATAAAGTTACCCAAAGTGACAGAATGGCAACTATAAGCTGAAAATTTAAGTTTACTTTTAATAATACCAATAGCTTATTTTAGCTACTAATATTTCAATTTAAACATATTCAGTAAAAACTTACCCCATACAACCACCCAAAATATCCACGAGTCTTGGGTATATCTGGATTAATCAATGAAGCAATTTCTGTCAAGTAATCATGGTAGCCCTCATAGGTTAGTTGGCGAACTGATCGTCGGATGAAAACAGTCTCTTTCAACAGAAAGAAAGCAATCGAGGCAGAAATTTTTTCCACTGAGTTGGCATTACGTAACCATGCTGCTGCCGCCTTTATTACAAAAATCCAAGAAAATGCTTACTCTAACAAACGTCCATAAAAATTCATTACAATGAAATAAAATTTTAAAAAGATATATTCTAATATATCAAATTACTATCACCCTTTCTTTCATTTGTGATATAAATATTTTAATATTATAGAAATTAACCCAATAACAGAAAGAAGTAGTTACACAGATATCTAAAGCACCTACTAGCTACATGAACTGAAAGATACGATCCTACCAAAGTGTTTGAGGTAGTGCAAAGTTTAAAATGTGAAGGGAACAAAAATAGTTTTCAGAACACAAAAATCCTCTCACAAAATCTTTATTATTTTTGTAAAGCAGAAATATAGGTGATCATCTTCGCCGAGGTTTAAAAAAACAACAAAAAGGGAACTTTAGATTTGTTAAGAAACCCTGCAGGTACTCTTAAATCCCTAAGAGGTAGAAGAACATTCTAGAAATGATATAGTATCAAGTGTGACTTGAAAGTACAGATGGAAAGGCATCATACTCACCACCAGTGGAAAGTTAATAGTTGTGATTAAATCATTTTCACTTCCCGTGGAAAGTTCAGGTAAAAAAATATTTTTCTTCTTCTCCCTATATGTCACAGTGTCGTTGTGGTGCCAAGTAATGTTCCTTTTAACCCACCAGCTCCTAATATCAGATATCAAGTAATGGCATTTATTGGCACGTTTTTTTTAACGTATCAAACTAATATACCTCAATATCTAATAATATTAAATGTTATTTTTACAAAATTAGATAATAAAATAGTGCTATATTTTCTAGCTTAGCTACAAAATATTTTGAACAATTTCACAAAAATCCCACAACTGATTGATTTTATGATAACTTTGATGTCTAATACTTAATAGCCAGACAGTAAACATCTGGTAAAGTTTTAATAACTAGCAGGAATACCACTCTACAGGTGGCTGTTTGTGCTAGTAATTACTTATCGTAGTATTCATACCTCATTTAAAATTTTCTAAAAAATGATTTTTCTGGGAAGTACTGCACAGGAAAAGTTTAGATTGTGCTGATATAAACTGTAATGTTTTTATATATTAAAAGGGGTACCTTTATTGAAAAACAAATTTTTTTTACGAACTCCATTTCTTTTGTACTATATTTACAAATTACATCAATAAAGATATAATAAAACCCTCACATATAGTCCTAGTGAAAGTCGTGTTCTTGTTGTGAGGAGAGTACTTACATTTTGTGTTTTATGATAAAAAAATTGTTCTTGCACATACCACAGTTATTTTTCTAAATGTCTGAATCTTGAATACCCAAAGTGTGAAATTTTCTATGGAGTTTTGTTTGTGATACCAGTAGATGGTGCCACATTGTGTTTATTATTTTGGCCATAGACATAGATATATATATATATATATATATATATATATACACACACACACACACACACACACACAAGCTAAATACATTATAATAAGATGTGTCCTTGAAGAATGAGTTGGATTAACAACGGAGAAAGTCTTATTTTCTTAACACTTAAAACAAAAACTGGTCGATTAATTTAGTTTAAAATAACCAAGATTCACTGGTTCAAAATATGCCAGCTTAGGACAACCATACACAAGGGAATTTTTTAGAACTACCAATTTGATCAAAGCCACTACATACACGCATATTTTAGCCAATTTGCTAAAAACAACAAAAATACCTGTAAGTATAAGGGCCGAGCTCTTGAAGTTTGGGTTTTGTACCCTTCTGAAGAAATTCTTCAGGATTAGTCATATTAAAGAAATATATCCTCTGATAGATTGGAATGGGGATGTTCTTCCACATCTTGTATGATATTGACCCATTTTTCAGAGGTAGATTCTGAAAGGGAAAAAAGATGTTTATTACTTAAAACAATTATTGACCATTAAGTTTAAGTGAGGTAATTGTTAAACATATCACACAGCAACAAATGAGATCTGGACATAGTTTATATTGAAGTTTGAAGATAGTTTGTCTTATATTTAAATTAAGTAGTACTGCTCGAAGCAGAAATATTGAATGATGCGAAGAGAATGGTAATATGATGAAATATGACATACAAAAAGTTATCTTGATCAATTATCTTCTCTTTAATAATAAAAAAAAAGATATACACAATTACACCTTGGACTTTTTCTTTCTAGAGCTCATTTAAAATTATGGTAATGGACATTAGTTACTTTTAAAAAATAATTACCAAAGTAACTGCCTCAAGAAAAACAGACACTGTGCCTTTATCTTACAAGGTATGAAAGAACAAATGAACGAACAATAAAACAGTTTATAACGTAACTCAAGCTTTTCTTACTTTTTAGCTACCGTTTTGTTTTTTATTTATTTATCACATTTCATAAAGTTAATTAAGCATACTCGAGATAGTTTTTTTCTTCCTATTATTGATTAATCTCCTTACTTTTTAGGTTGACGTACAGCTGGGTTCCATTTCTAAGCAAGTTGATGTTTATGATCATATAATACAGAAAAGTTCAATTTCTTTTTGAATGAAAAAGTTTTCTTATTTCTTACAAAAACAATAGTTGAATTAATAACAAGATATGATCGTACAGAACGGTAATAAGATATCTTACCTCGTACAACAAATATCTGAATAAGACTGGGAAAGAAAACAGCAGGGTAAGACCAAGTATGAAAATTGCAAACCCTATAGCTCCTGTTACCACTAGTAAAAAAAAAAAAATGTTAATAGAGCTTTCCTTTAAAACTGTTTAGGAACTTTCTAAGAAAGCTTGAAATCAACAATAAGAATGACAAGCTAACCATATATCCTTTTATTTCAATAACCGAGTTCGAGTTATATCTGGTAAAAAATCTGCAAAGGAGATTAGTAATATAGCTTGATTTGAAAACTTGTGTTTTGATTACGTTTTATGACACAGGTGAAAGTCTCTTAAATAACATAATGTTTTGGGACAACATGGGACCTATTGGTCCCTCTTGGCTGTCCCATTCTCTAAACTTAACTATTAATAAATACATTTTTTAAAAATCTTAAACTTATCATTCGTATACTTAAGCTTTCTTTTAAACTCACTTAAATGTACTGCCAATCCCAAAAGCATCCCATTCCAAAAGCCAACCACCCTATCAGAAAAATAAAACTGTCTTAGCTGAAGATGAGTCCTACCCTGCCAAAGTTTATATTTCTGTCCCCTAGTTGTACTATTCTCACCTTTAAGTATGAAAAAAGATGATGCATCAACACTATCAATTCCCTTTAAAATTTTAAGCACCTCACTCAGATTCCCTCTAACTCTTTTTCAAAAGAAAACAATTTGGGAAACTTCAACCTCTCCTCGTGTGACAACCCCCCCCCCCATCCCAGGCACCATTCTAGTAACCCTTCTCTAAACCCTTTCCAACTATTTAATGTCCTTCCTAAGGTAAGGAGCCATAGACTGAACATAATGCTCCAAATGTGGCCTAACCAGTGACCTATACAATAAAATTTTAGCCTCGTTAGACTTGTATTCAATATTTCTGTAGATACACCCTAAAATCCTATTTGTCCTACCACTAACAACACACTGCTTGGATGGC